TACATAGGAAATAGAACTAACATTAAATAGTATTGTACAGATATTACAACCCGTAGAAACAAAAGTAAAAGGGGAAGTAGATGATAAACATAGTATAATTTTGAAGCCAGAATTCCAATATGTAGGAATAACTAGGAACCATCGACAGTATACCAGTTTCATGGAAACACAGTTATTACACTGTCCCGAAACAGAAATATTTCCAATTTGAACTGAATTCCAACCAATCCAATCCAGCATGAACCTAAATATCAACCATGTGAGGTATCATTTTTTGAAAATTAGGACCAATTACCATGTGAATGAACCTAACCATTGATGCGTGAAGTGAGAATAATAATATTATCAAAAAATATACTTCATAAATTTAAGTATTTAAAGGTACAACACATGGTGAAACATCAACAATTACATGTTAGGGAAATAAAGAATCCTATATAGAAAAAATTAAAAATCAAGGTATAATAAAATTAAATCAAGAATGCAGGGTATACACAAGAGACATTATATTAAATCCGGGCGCGTGTAAATTCCGCGGTTCTAGGTCACTTTGTACGGTCGGTTAAAAAGGTACATTGCAGAACGCGGACACTTTGTACGGTAGGCTGAAAAGGTATATTATTATAATAATAATTATTATTAATATTATCATTATAATTCCGCCCGAAAATGGTAAATTCCGCCCAAAATGAACTACAGGTAAAATAAGGTACATGTAAATTCCGCCCGAAAAAAGTACAGGTAAAGAAACATACATGTAAAATCCGCCCGAAAAAATGTATTACTGTTAATAAACAAATTTGTGAAAGTGTCTTATTAATCATATTATTACCAGTGGTGTATTGGTACGGATACGCGGGTATACGCCGTATACCCGTCAGCAGATTTTCGATTTTCAGCGTATACCCAATGTAAAATATCATTTTACGGGTATACGCTCTTAAAATAACTCGAAAACCAATTATTCATAGGAAAAATTGTTATTTTAATATAATAATGAATTTTAAATTAAATTTATTAATAACATTTTGAAAAATAGATGTTATTAAAATATTATGTAATATTACCAATATGGAGTATGAATGCTCAGTCCATGGTTCTCAACCTGTATTATGTCATTTATAAATTATAACGCGCGGCAAATGTGTTTCTTGCGATGTTATGTTTTTGTAACCACTGATGTTATTAAGTGTTTATCAGGCTATGGCCAATTAAATGGTTTATGGTGTTTATTTATAGATTTATTTATAAATTATTGTTACTGCAATAATGGGTATTTTCCTTCTTGAATCTTGCTATTCGAGTTTACGACTTATTGTACTTATCGTAGTATCGTTTGACAAAGAAGAATGAATACTAGTCGGTTCCATTGATGATCAGTGTTAATTTTAATATTATTATATTAGTAAAAATACTGAAAATTTAATAAAGAAATAAAATAAAAATAATATAATATAAGAGATTAAGTCACCTAATTATTGTAATGATTATTGACTACGAGCGAAGCGAGAAAATTTTTTTTTGGTAGATTATACATATTTTATTAGTGCGTATACCCATAAATATATTTACCAATACACCACTGATTATTACTGACATAACATAGATTAAACATTATAATTTAGAAGTGAGTATTTAAATAAATATATATTTCACATATTAAGTCAATAATTACAACATAAATCATGTATAATCGTAAGAATAGTAATAATTATAAAAGTAAATATAACAATCATAATATTATAGTAAAATTAAATCATAATCAATAATTAGCACAATATATATAAAAGTATTAAAAATCGTAAAAATCATAGTAATAAATACGAGTCAAAATAAAATCATCATCAATAATTAGCACATATTATTATAAGTCGTGTATATTGTATAGCATATAAAATTGTTAAAAATTGTTAAAATAGCAATAATTATAATAATAAATACGAGTCAAAATATCACTTCCATACTATTTATTTTTTGTTCGTGTTCGAACATTTTGTGACTTCCCAATACTGTAAGTTATAACACGTGCTGCGTCGCGAAAAGTACGGTCGCGTCGTAGTCACGGAACGCTTAGTTTAAAACTAACTAACAACTTAACTATTTTTGTACCTGTATATTTTTCCGGGCAGAATTTACCATAGACCTTGTTTTTACCTGTTCATTTCGGGCGGAATTTACAATCTCCCATTAAACCCGACACAAGACATAAAATCAATTACTACAATAATTTTATAACACAAGCAGGGACAGGGAAGCTATCGATAATTCTCCCTAGACAAATAAAAAATGTAGAATTACCAAAAATAAGAAATAAATATCAATAAATCTCATAAATTAGACAACATGCACGGAATAGCGCATTCTTTAGATGAAGTACAGGATATGATAAATGACGAAATACATAGGCAGTCAGGGTATGTGGTAAATAATGACAGTCAATAGTTATTTCATTTATGCAATAATTGGATGATTAATATTACTAAAATATTACTATTCATATATATAACATACAAGTGTAGATCAAGCACTTGGGAAGCAGTTAGAACAAAATACAATCTAAACCCTATAAGTCAGAGTTAATTTAAGTAGAAACACCAATAATTATTGAGGAAAAAGATAAAAATCCACTTTTGGGGTTTACACCTAGAGCGGTGATACCAACAGCTCTACCAAGGATAAAAGATTAAAAAAAAAAAATGTAAATAAAATAAAATTATAGAATAAAACTTAGTTATAGTTAAACCTAACAATTAGAATAATAACATATGCAAATTAACCAGGCATGATGGTAAAAAAAAAAGAGAAGGAAAATATATAAACAAAAAAATTGATTAACAAAAAGAAATCACAAAAGTTTGTGACCATGGACTTTGAATTTTCCATTATTGATAGAACCAGCACGGTCCTGATATCCAAGGCCATGCCAAATAGTCTGGATCGTTTTAAAATTCCAAAACTCGAAGGGAGACCACTGGCTCTTACCAGTCAATGACGGGGTCAGACTTATGAAGAACCGGGAAGTTGTACTGGTGATAAAAGAGTATTCAAATGTAAAGAGGCTTTAAGAGATACATTAATAATACATGTTATATTATTTTAAATATAAAATGTTATGATTTTCTATTTAATTAACATTTTAGTATCCAACTAGAAAAGATAAGAGTAAAGAAAAGAAAAAAAAATAGAATAAAAAGATAAGAATATAAGAAAAATTATACTTAAATTAAATATATGGACATTTAATAAAACCTGATTGTTACTGAACTTGGAGAAGACCCACAATATAATATGTCAGAAAAACTATGAAATAACACATGAGCACAACCCAAGAGCAGACGTAATATTAACTACAGTAATCTATATTCGATTATGTATCCAAAACAAGAGTATGATAGACTAATACAGTATTTCTAAAAATTATAAAACAATAAATTTAAAAAAAAAAAATTAAACAAAAAAAGGGGAATTAAAGTAATGAAATAATGTATGTAGTAGGTACAACAGTCTGTTTTTTTCGAAATATGAAAATACAGATCGCAACTCATGTTAATTTAAAGGAGTGGTAATATGTGTTTTTATATGTCGAATCCAAAAACAACCCAATTGAACATTTTGAAGTATAGCAACGAATCATGACTTATATACGAGGAGTTGGGGTGTGAGAAAAATCGTTTAGTAGGAAACTTGGAAAATCTATAAAAAGTTAAGAGACAAGGATTCTTATAGTGAAAACGGAAAATTAACACAAAGAAAAGGAAGTAGAATAATCATTTTGAATTAGGATCAATGTTGTGACAATTTTTATTTTCTTATGGTCAATACATTGAAACTGTAATTAGTTTGATAAAATATTAAATCAAAGTAGAGGGGAATAAAAGAATAATAATTAATTCAAACAATGTTGGCTGGGACAATAACTTTTGAGAATATAAATAGTTGTCCATACAGTCAATACCACAGTCAATACTATGTCAATACCATTTACCAATTGAATAAAAAAAAAATCAACAATAACTAAGTAACCATTAATAGGAAATTGTATAAAATAAAAGGTAAATAAATATATATATATGCACACTGGAAAATATTATTTAAGTCGATAAAGTAGATTAATACTAAGTAAAAAAAAAATAACGGGTCAACACTATCTTGTCGATAGGAGAGGAGTAGAGGAGATTAGGCCTGTATAGTAGAAACCCGGGCACCCAACATTCATGTGATCTGTCAGAGTGAGTACGAGCACCTTCACACCAGCAGATTCTCTGAAAATATTCAACTACATAAAAAATATTCATTTATAAAAAAAAATTAATGGTGCATTATTAAATTATCCACTGCAGCTTAACAGTCAGTAAAACTTGTGCACAAGCTGTAGTTTGGAATTTTCTGTAATGGAACCATATTTATACTACAATCTATTAAATAACCATAACCATTTTTAATGTTGTTGGTATACAGCATACAACAATGATGCCAATATAATAACAAAAAAATTTGGTTCAATGGGCATTGGGCATAGTCTGCACCTTTGAGTTAAATCAACGATTAACTAGGAATGTGAATGCAATTATTATATAGGTATTCTACCAGATCCAGTGATAGCTGTTTAGGTTAAACATGTAAAAATAATTAAAATAACATTTCAATATTTACTAAACAAAATATGGTCAGTGATAAATAATTACTAAATGGACAGTTACACAACACCAACAACAATCCGTACGGATACCTTCATGGTTTACAACCATCAACATCCAAAACCCAATACATTTGTGTGGAAATACTATACAGTTACAGATTGCTATGAAATTACAAAACACTACATTGATAGGTATATGTACAGATGTTGAAAACGTCAGAAAACACACAAAAAAAAATTGAAAACTGTTGAACGCAGAAGAATTGTCTACGGTTGACATTGACCGCAGGTGTATTACGATCCTATTACAGATATTAACATTTTTATACGACAAAAATCGTCACCCACAAAATGTACATACCGGATCCTTCGTATTCCTCATCGCTACTGGTATACGAGCTGGTCGATGGACATTCCATTTTCGTCAGTCCGTGCAGAACGAATGCTGTGGCAATGATAGATTCACGTTTAACTCCGACCTTCGAAATAAAAACACACCGACTGAAGAGTGAAGAGTAACAGTTATCGATAACGAATAACGAATACAAAATAAGCGAAATGAAAACGTGCAAGACTGGAAAATGAAACTTTACGGTCGAGTACAGGCGCACCGCGCGAAGTGCAATAGCGGTCGACCGTCAATGGCGACTACTGAAGTACAGACTCGTCGGCGGGACAAGTAAGGGTTAAGCGTTGTTCGTCTGTCGAGTTCTGATACACTCGGAACTCACTCAACACATTTAACAATCAGAGTCACGAAATCAAAAACGGTTGTGGACCGGGAACAGAATATTAAGATACCAACGCTAAGCAATGACAACGACGCGGCGACCAACGGGCGGGACAATAACATAACAATGAACGAGACGACGACTGTGTACAACATATATAGTACGTCTGTAGTCAGAACGCCGAGTTCGCATTGTTCGCGACATCATTTTGAGGTTGCAACTGGTTTATCGTCAGTAGTTATGTTGGTTCACTGTTTGTGAAAATGCCGATGCCTATCGGCTATCGGTGCCCGAGCTGGCAGCTGTTGTAGTTCAGGGGGTTATGTAAATCCTTGTTCGATAACGGTTATCAGCTGCGGTTCGGCAGTTGAATTCCCGGGTTTTTTGCATCGTGTAAACCGTACGTCTGTTGTAATCTGTGCGACGCATATATTATATATTATATATCATAATATATTATATTCTTCACAATAATTTTTATCTTAAAATAAGGTGCTCACACGTTTTGATTCCTCGAACCTACGTGTTTCGTCTAGTCGAGAATGACGGCGCGTGTAGAACTGCTCGCTCGGACTTGATTCCGAAGTTATAGCCTTCGGAGTTCGCAAATTATTAGTCGTGACGCGCGTTATCAATGTTATCTGAACAAAAAATGCACTATGTATTAGCTGATGTTGCGTGCACCCTATTATTTTTTTTTTTTAATCTTCGGTCGACTGTAGGTACTTTTGATGCTAATTGCGAGTATTCAAAATGAATGTTCGGAACAAGTACCTATCTAGTTTAAAGGTTATAGCCATTTAAAGATGTTGATTTTAGTATTAAGCTCGCCCGTGGCACTAGGTAGTAGGTACACATAGCTGTGGTAACAAACCAGTCGGTCTCGATCTTTAAAGGAGTATTGGTCGATCGTATTAAATATTAATTAAGTACTAAAATAGTATAATAATAATTTACGTTTCAACAATGCCCAATGGTAGTACCCAATATCAACCAGAATTTAGTAGTGAGATGAATAAATTTTATTTATATTCTAAAAATGTTAGCAAATTTAGTTTCAATCAAGTCTATACAAATTATCTTCCCATTTCAGTACATACTAAAAAAGGGTAAAAATCATATTAAGATTATCCTTAATATTTAAAATGATATCAGGTACGATAGTCTACAAAACTATAATAAACAAAATAATATTTAATTTCCATACTACCTACTCATGAAAAATATAATCCATATTTGTCAAATTTCGTTTATAATTATTAATTATTAAAGGTTTATACGTCTTTTCATGTTTTTTCTTGTCATATTCTTTGCAATTAATAACAATGCATAATATTATTGAATTATGCTGAAATTAAAAAAAAAATAATTAAAAAAATAATGATGTTACATGCCATGTACGGCGTAATGAAAAACTAACAGGAAAATAAATGAAATCATTTTAATTGTCCTTTAATCGATATGGTCGTATGATAGTCATACTATGATGCCTCGTCACTGCAGCTAATAATTTCATTAAATTAATTCAGTTGCTGATTTTTTTTATCATTTATACTTCGATTTTGTAGTACCTACATGTATTATATAAATTAATAGGTGTACGAGTAATATAATAAGAGTATTTGCTTCTATTTGTATTTATTCAAATTCAACTAATCAACTAGGTAGGTATTTCTATACATCAAATGTTCAATGATATTGGTTTGAATAAAATTTTAATTACCTACTTAAAGTAGTTGGCAAATTGGAGTGTGTCATATTCATGTTCTCAATTGCAATTATTAAACATACTGCAGTGGCGTAATTTGGTCATGTTTTTTTGTGTGTGAGGGATGGGGGAGTGAAATGTTCGTGAATTTTGCATTTTTATCTATTAACCCACACAAAAACAAATTATAAATGTATGAAAATAAGAAAACAAATAATTCATAATATAATATAATATTTAAATATTCACATATTATTGATATAATGTAATATTGGACCGCTAAATGGTTAATTTTTGTACCTCAAATGCCAATATAATATAATAATATATTTGTGTAATAGTGTTTACAACAAAGTAATATTATTATCTTCGTTATGTAGAGCTCGTATTATTTCTATAAAATATACCTACCACAGTAGTGTTAAAAAAACTAAAAAAAGTAGGTACATCAATTTGGTAGGCTATATCCTGAGTAACAATAAGTTGAACCCCATTCGGTTCACCCGATTGAATGGTGCATGGAAAGTGCTAAGTTCAAGTAGTGCAAGTATTGAACTTGTAATTATTTTCTTATTTGTCATGATGCTACGTAAGTTCAAAAAGCTGATGTTCGACGGTTCAGCTAGTTAGGTCAGTGAATGTGAACTTCATATTTTTATTTGAAGGTCACGCAAATATTAAAGTATAAATATTGAACGTGTTTTTCTTATCAATATATGCCTACGTAATTTATTAATTTATTGCGCGCGCGTGTAGAAATTTCATTTTATTTTTATTTTAAATGAATAGTAAACAAATAGTTATTAAAGTAATCTTGATTCTTGATACAAGATTTTACAAAAAAAATCGATTGTTCCGCATCATTATGGAATGAGAATCAGAGGTTATTACGCCCAGCTTGAATATAAATTGTTGCTGTAAACAGATAGAAAATTGTACTATACATTTTCTAACATACAATACAATGTTAATGTAACATGCTCTACTTGGTCTTGCAGAAAAATTATTTGAATATACGAACGGGATCAAGTATATACAAATCAAATATCAAATCTATTAAATAATTTTTAAAAACGATACAAATATGATATATACACCGAACATTACATTTAGTTTATATTTGTATAAAACTATTTTATAGGATTATTAATTATTATCCTTAGTATAAACATTTTAAAAACTCAGAAACTACTCATAAGAATTTTGATTCAAATATGCACATCAAAATTTTCAAAATATCATCTGATAAATAATAACTATTCAAATTATTATTACATAAAATAATTTTCGGTAAAATTTGTTCTCGTTTAAAATATAAAATTTTGTATACGTCCGTCGTATAAATACAAAATAATGAGTTTATTTATTGATATTATAATGTTTATAATTCGAAGGAAAGAACTTACCATTACTTTTAGGTACCTAATTATCAATAATATATAATAAACCGATGAACCGATACTGACAGAATATGTTTAGACTCTTAAATGCATGTAATCAACTAATGGAATTTACGTGGTGATCAAAACTAAACTATAGTGATCTATTTGACACCATCTTTAAAGATATAGCAGAATTTTGGGAATCACAGAAACTATAATTTTTAACATTGTAAATATTTTTTAATTTATCACTGTTTTCAAAGCATGATTATTCCATTTTTCAATTTTAATTTTTTAAACATTATGTCAATATGCTTATCATCGAATTATTAGATTAATATCAATAAATAAATTCATTATTTTATATTTATACGATGTATTTATTGTTATATGGATGGCGGGGTTATAACAAACCTGAGTGGCGGGGCTATAACAAACCAGTACCAATTTTAAGACTACTAAAAAAATGAACTATTTAAAAATTAAAATCAAAGTTTTCGATAAAAGTTATTGTTTATTATCAATTATATATATTTTTTAAATATATACTTTAGAATAAAAGTATTAGCAAAAAATATCTAATACTTGACTGACTATTGCGAAATATTATAATATTTAATAATTTAACTAACAATATTTGTAAAGGTTCAAAAGTAAGCCAAAACACTGTTGTAGCACGGACTAATAATGAATGGTGAACCGAATGGGCTCCGACTTAATTTAAACTTATACACGGTTAAGGAACATTCAACCATTGAACTTTCAATTCGTTCAAAATTTGAACTATTAAACTTTTGCAGCACTCGGTTAGACCCAGGTTAAAATTTGGTATTCAAAACGACTAAAGGTGCTAGGAACCAATATTGAACAGAGTACAGCACCGTTATCTCAATGTAATTTGAACTGCGTGGGAACTTGAATTTCTACTCGTCTTTACAAGAAAATGTCGTTATAGGTATGTAAAACACTCAATCCCCCAGGGTAATAATTATGCGTTTACGCCACTGTAGGAATATACAATAATTATAACAAAAAAAAAAATCTACCATAACTATTAATGTATTGAAGAGAAATATAAGCCTATACATATGAGTATTTACTGTAACAATAATTTTTCTTTCCTAGGAAACCCAATAAAAGCCACGAAAGAAAATAAAAATTTGTTGAAACAATACAACATGATGTATTATTGGGTATACAAAAGTTTAAATTTGTTCTCCAATAGTATAGGACCTATACTATAGGTATCAATATTTTCAATCTTCTGTTTTATCAAAATAGACTGCAATAGCCCAATGTATAAATGTATTATAATATAATATTAATATTAGTTCAAATTAAGTATAGGTATTTAGATATTATACGAATTATTCCAGATTTTAAAGCTAGATATTTGTCATTATATTACTTCAAATTCTTGACTCCTAACCTCTTACAGATTTTATCTCAGTAACCACTAACCATGTATTCATAAGACTAACTGTGTAGTGTGTACACGTATTGACTTCTGGAGTCATGGTGTAATTTACCAGATACAGAACTCTAAAAAGTAGGTAAAGTATAACTCTAAAATTAGGTAAACTTAAAAATATAATACAACTTAAGCAAGTTACCTTTCCATTTATTAACCATCTTAGTTTGAATTCCATGAATTGTGTTATACAAAGCACACACTAATATTTTACTGCGCTCATCATTAGCAATCTTAGAATCTTCGATCAATGCTATTGCTGTATTCAAAGTTGCGATAGCACTTTGGTATTCGCCGTTAGTAGCATCAGTTATAGCTCGTGCTATTGCAGAACTAGACACAATTCTATTCCTGTTAATAACGCAATTAATTTCTGTTTCTGTCATTTTTATTTCATTTGTCATGTGAGGTCCATATGAATGTGTATAAAAGGGATGGTAGCCATCATATGAAAAGCTTTGAGATGTTGGAGATGCCCTGGTTTGATTGAATAATGTAGGATCAACCGGTGCTCGACAATGATCATTATGATTTATTTGACCTGAATAAGTTTAAAAAATTTTAAATGCAATATTTTGTAATAATATAAAAATAAATTATATTATTTTATTTTAAGCATGAGGTTTAAAATAGCCTATTAGAAATAAAACTCGAATAATGGTTTCACTCACTAAGTGAACTTCCACCTCTTAATAGACTTTATTCTGGAGTAACCTATAAAAATATTATTATTTGAAAAAATAATATCATGAAAAAATATGACTTAATTAATTATAATCCTTAACTTAGTTCTGGATGATATTTGAGGGTCTATATGCTTTTAAATATCAAAACTGTAAGAAAAATTATTGTTGTATAAAATACTTACAAAATATCCACCCATATTTTGTTTATATGATCTGTTCCATTGGTTTTCATAACCCGAGGTTCGTGGATGCTGGTGGTGGGTTTGTACATAGCTAGACATTAGTGGCATTCTTGTATTATAATACACACTTTGTGATGGATTTTGTATTGATTTATAGCCATAAATTCTAGTAATATCCCCATTAGAAGATGTATTAAGTCGAGTTTCAAATTTCGATTCAAACTAAAAAATTTCAAATTTTAGTATATTTACTAATAATATTTATTATAACATTTTATAATGTTAATAAGGTATGAACATGAAAAAGTAGACACATCGTTACCATGAAATATGCTCTTAATGATGGTAATGTAACAATAGGTTTTCGTCCATGAATAAGTTCATTTGGTAATTTATTTAAAATTCGATTTACACTTTTCTCTGATTTTAATGTAACAGTACAAAAACCTTTTGATTGGCCATTTTCTCGATTTTCAAAAAATTGAATATCAACGAAATCATTCACTCCAGCGTCGATTATAGAGCCCATTATATCTTGATCTGTTGTCCACTATAAAGTAACATTTTAAATAAATTGATGTAATACATTTTGTAACTTAAAAATTGAAATTTCAAGTTTCGAAACATACTACATTTATTTACCCAAGTCAAATTTCCAATAAATAATTGGTGCAAATTGGAACAACTGTTGGTGTTATTTGTCATGCCATCAGTTTCACCATCTATCTTTGAATCATCATTGGAATTAAGTTTGAAGTCATCACTAAAACGTGTACCATGGGTTGTCACAAAGTCATCCTAAAACATTAACCACAGAACGATCTAGTATGGCGGCAATCGTTGACAATTAAAATATAACGCTTAAATAGGCATTAATTATACTTGTAATAATGTGTAAGCATATGAGAATTGTGGTAGGGACTAGAGGTGGTTAAAGGATTGGCTTGGGAGGAACTTAATAGGTGCCATAAATATCGACCAATGTGGTGAACTAGGTAAGTTGGGTATCTTGTCGTTTTTGAGTGAAGAAGTTAAAAAAACAAGTTGACGAACAATAACAGATTATCGATTGCCAAAATCGGTAACGCAATCCAACACATAGGAATTGGCGGCAACCGATGAAGATGTAGCATACTGCATATTATGATTAATAATTGTTTATAACAGTTCACAGGGGATAAAATAACCATAAAATAGCAAAATGGATAAGTATCCGGGAAGTATAAGTACCTACAAAATGAGCATCGTGAATCCCCTGGTCAAATGGAGAGAACACCATCCAGGCCATGTGTATACCATTAGCTTAATAATCTGTACTTTTACTTCATAAATGTTATTGTTAATAGTGTAGTGATCCCTCACTATCGTTTATTAAAAAGAGTTATTCAATGGTGATGTCCGCCGTGTACGGATCAGGTTCGATGAAGGATAGGATAGGTTTAAGTAATTTTAACAAACGACTCTGTTTGTTAATTATGTGTAAGTTTATTAAATTATTATATAAATTTGAGAATAGAGCGAAAAGTATAATAGTATAATAATTGCACTACTTGGAATGGACTTATACTTGGCGGCGATGTTGAGGACCAAGCTCAACGACCAACCTAAGTCCTACAATTGTGGGATGTCATACTAACTCTAAATGTATTACGGACAAGTCTTATATTTATACAGAATCTCCTCTAGCTAACGAGTACACGGTAGAAACTAGGAGGGGGATTCAAAAAGTCACAGACTAGCAGTTGTTGTCGTCCTTGGGTGAATCCTAAGAAAAACACTGGCGCTAGACTTGTGCCATTAAGTTAGCCACGCTCTATGTTTAGTTTATGGCATATGACTATTTGATATTTGATATTTTTTTTGTATGTTAGCGCATTAGCATATATTATTAAAATATACTATTTAAATGCACTGTCAACATGTGCCAGTGAAATAAAGTATTACTTATAATATTCTTAGTAGAATATATACTATTTATGAAAAGTGATTCGGTTTACTACAATAGTGTACCTTTTTGTAATGATGACCCAGTCGATTCCTGTTTCGTGTGTACCGGTCTAGGTTCATGGTAATCAAACAGCGGTCAGGAACACAGTCACCGGTGTAAACAGACACGGCTGTCCGCTAAGATCGAGGTTTGAGCTTAAGTCACTTTTGTGGGGTAGGCTTCGCGATAGGCAGAAGTGTACCGAATAACTATCGACGATAACCGGTAGTACAATTTGGTATGGTGCAGATAAATTCGTGCTGTAAACGGCCGATACTACTGCTCATGGGCACAGGGAAAACGATGTTATCCAATCTGGTGATCTTACGGCGTCCCCGAGAGGCAGAAAACCACGATTTTTTACGTTTTTTTCAAACAAAAAATGTTTTGTATTCACTAAGTCGAACTGGATTTCAAGATATTATTAATACCTACTTCGAAGTAATCCATTTGAAACGTTTTCTTCAAGTTTATAATTTATAAATAACGATTACATGACAACACTACTTATAATTGACTGGATATTTGTTTTTTAAAATATTTTTTGACCAGCAACTTATTATTATATAATATTGTAATATAATGTTATAATTTATTGTATAGCGTATAGGTACATTTGGCGTTTTAACATTTGTATGAAATGCAGCTACTTATATACGTATGTTCAAATGTACAAAGATAGAATGCTTCAAGCATTCAAGTCATAAAATAAACTAACTTGGGGTGAATGGGTGCGTACAATGAACTTTTAAGGTCATAATATTATATTCCTAAAGTGGGATTACCAATTACAACTAAAACTAAACTGTTATATGTACAATTTAAACAAATATAAAAGTACCTAGGTAACAATACGCTTAATGACGAGATTTTAGTACCAATATAATTTATTGTAGCAAGGTGGATATATATATATTGTATTGTAGGTGTATAAAAGAATGACATACTTAAACTTAATTCAGACCCACAGACCCGTTGCCAAGAAAAGTTTATGGTCAATTGTCTTGTCCAATACGGAAATACCTATTTATTTGTATATCGTCTTTATCTGGTCGGATAGAGTAAGCATAGGCGTAACCAGGGTTAACCTCCATGGAGGAGGCTAAAGTTCTCATCAATGCTGTTGACTTCAAATAACCCACGTGAGGTCCACCTCTCCCTACACATCCTACTTAGTAGTTATAATCAGTGCTTGCATTTTTTCATAGATTTCAGAGTTCTCTTTCATTTAATTAAGAGAAGATATTCGTGTATCATCGGAATGGACTCAATGTATTGTTGTTCCATCTGGGGGTAGTATTGCCAAACAACAAATTAGTATGAGTGGCTTGGTGAGGCACGGTCCTAGGCTTAGCATGCGCGGATCCAAGGGAGGCTAAGGGCCATGCCCCCCTTAGACTCTGGGGAATTTTCTATTATATCTATTTTCGGCAGAAATAAAGGAGGATAAAATGGTACGGCTAAAGAGTACCAGCGACACCGATTCAGAGAAATAAAATTATGGTTGACCTTATTATTGTAAATTAATTATTAATAATATTATTTGTTGATTGTAATAGATAAAATGTTTAACTATAAAAGTCAAAGGTTTTTAATAAATAAAAAAATACATAAGGATTAAGCGACAAAAAAATACAAAAAATATTCGACAGGTGTCAACAGTAAATTAAAAAAAAATATGATATGGATTTTTATCGTGCCTCGCTAATGCTCATGTGCAGTGGGTTTTCAGCATTTTCATGGGTAACAATACTCCGGCAATTTCCGAGAGCGCTTCTGGGTGGTGACCAAAACTTTCTCGTTCTCGAGTATTTACGGTGGCGACTAGGTAGTAGAGTGGGAGAAATTTTAGTATGAAACCGTGGATCTCAATCATTTGTATGCGCTAAGGAGTAGCGCTCTCTCGGTTGTGGTAGTATACTATATGTTTAGGGTTGTCACATTTGGCTAGTCTTGTCGGGGCATTTTAGAAATTTTAGGATGGAGTGTAAAAAAATACTCAATTTTGAAATTTGGATATGGGCGATAATGTCGATAGAACAGTGAATTTTTTTTGTGATTAGTCGTAGAAATGTGCTGCTTTACGTCAGCTTTACCTCTGTGAGTAACTAATAAAAAACAATTACAAATAATACAAAGCGCTTTCATCCGTAAGCCCTTTTCTTTTTTTATAAAACTCCACTCTTTCGTATATTCATCCGAAAAATGGCACTTTCTCTTTCTCGCCGCAGACATTTACGTAATGTATACCTAAAATTACGCACTTTCAGAAAGAAAAAATCGTACCGTACACCGTCGAGTAAATAAAGCGACTGACTGCCAATTTGTCGACTTATGCCGTGTGCCCGTGTCCTACGTAAATTTGTAAATACGACGAATCCGATAATCGCTGTACGGACCGATACGAGTCTGAGAACGAACGAAAGTGTCCGACATATACAAGCGATACCTAACGATTGTGTCGATCGTGTCATGCATAAATGTATGCAATAAGCCAATAAAGCAAAATATGCAACGCAGAGTTTCAATCGGGACATTTTGGTCGTTTGTCGGACAGAGAGCTCCACATCAGTGACAGTCCCGACGTATCGTAAACATGTAACATGTTCCGTCAATGAGTATGAGGTTCTTGCGTATCTTGTGTTAACAGTTGTAGTTGAGGCCAACGATTATTGATAAGTGATAATTAATGAACCACTGCGATTGGAGGTCCACGATACCTATCACAATATTTACACAGTTCTCGACCAGTCGGCCCCTTCGTTGTTAAACGTTTATTTCTCAAGCGATTGTGAATTCTTATTTTTCGATAGTCATTGCTTCATGCTTGCATCATTGCAATTCGTCATTTAGTTAGGTTTGAATTTTAGAGAGTCAACTGTTATCGAAAACAAACAATTCCGGATATCATATATAATGGTAAGTTCATTTTTAAATTTGTGTACATCATTGTGCCGGTTTATCTATCGAAGTGTGCGATGACTTATATTACATAGATCATATACCTATATAACCAAGAAACGGAATATTATATTATGTGTCCGTGAATTAAGGTTATAATAGGGACATGTCACATGAGGCCTTAAGGTCTGATAGTGTGACTACAAAAAGTTTGTTCACTGATGCCGGCTGAGTTCATACTGATGAAAAAAATTACCGATTATCATGACTATGATAAAGTTTGTAATTATAACACTGAAGATTGAACTCGTATGCTTTGCTTTCTATGTGAAATTGAACATTCTGCATGTAGGTAATTCTCCAACCGGCTATCATAACTCTAACATAGCTCTACATTTTGCCCAATTACACTTTTACCTACTGCAGTTATCATTAATTTAATTATCATTCATTATTTAATCTTATTCTACAACATTTTTAAATTTCAATAATATTTTCATTGTTTATTATTTTCTATAGGATCATTTCATGAATCAACACATACAAATTGTAAAAGTCAACTCAGATGCTAATCATTTGTCTGGCATTCTATTGAATGTGCCATTCAATAACCAAATACAAGTTGTACCTGGTCAAATAATACAAAGTGTCCATGGGCAACAAATGTCTATTCATTCTACTACTCGAGAAAAAAACCAACTATTACAATATAATTCGGAGAACAATCGACAATTTCAGCTATTACAACTTACCGTTCGTTATTATTATTATTATTTTTTTTTTTTTTAACGACTCATCACTAATTATATATTGTTAATATGCAGCCAACACAACCACAGTTGTTTCAAGTACCAGCTAATTGGCAAACATTTTTTTACCAAGGGACACAAGTTGGTAATACACAGGTTATTTCCCAGTCACAACAACCACAGCCAACGTGTATGTTTCACTATTCAAACAATTAAGTTATTTAATGCATGAATTAGCTAATTGCCTTTTCTTTAATTCTTATAACTAAATGTTAATAGCTAAGTAAAAATTCAAGTTGATAGTTCTAGATTTAGAGTAAAATAAATTACTAAGTTATGGATTGGTGAAAAGTTTATATTTTATTTCACTTTAAAAAGTATTATTTTTTTATTATTAACAATAGTGTTCTGTTCTCACAGGGTATAGTTCATGTAAATTGCATATACTTTCATGTCTCAATCGCATGCAAAAAATTAGTAATAGTTTTTGTAGTGGGTTATATTCGTATCTTTATTGAAAACCAAATAATAACAAATGAATAAAAAATAAAAATAAAATGATAAAATAGTTTAAATTAAAATTTGTTTGTTATCATTAAAGGCGTATTCACAGCTATGTGGTATGTCATGTCATAACTATGGTTACAACTGGTTACCACATTGATTTAAAAATTGAGTTGTAGTCAACTATATACTCAGTTGAAACTTGGTTATTAAATGATATTAAAAAAGTAATGTCTACTAAAATAAAGTAATTAAATTTATTATTAGAACATCATTAATAACCACCAAATATAATATCAAATATTATAATATTATTCAATTTAGCTGAAATTGTAGGAAATAATAGAAATGTAATAATAATAATTACCAAGTAATGTGAGTACACAAACGTTGAAATGTGTATAAGATAGGTACTGAGTAAATAAAAACCTAGTTATATTTTTCTTTTTCAATCTTGTGGTTACTGTTCTCTCTATAACTTTTCTTTTTACAGTTTATATTATAATATATTCTGTGAATATGCAATTTTGTAAGCATTATTATTTACTATGCATTTTTATTTATTATATATTATAAGTTAATATTTGTAAATAATGTTTGATATTTCTGATTATTATTATTTTTTTTATAAAAATAATTTTACAAAATAGAATATATTTTAAATTTATGGTTTTAGAAAATAAAATTAACTTAAGAGAACGCAACACCCACATGAAGTGTTTTCCCCATCTTACAACCTACTCTTAGCAGATCATATTTAGCACCGTTAGTTTAAAAATTATAAGACCTATTGAATCGACCTATTATAAGACTTGATGGTAAAAACATTAAATGTATGTTGTTTTTTAAGGATAGTCTGGTTTTTTAGCAAGTTTTGGGTGTATAATATAACATGAATTAAAAAAGCTCATAATTCACTAAAAAACTAAACTGTTGTAAAATACCAACATACGACACAGATAATGTTCTTACCGTCAAGTTTCATAATAGGTTGATTCACTGTAATTTGTAAACTTACAGAGCAAAATGGAATTTGCTGAGCATAAAACGTCACACACTTGTATGATGGAGACAACATGCTTGGGTGCGGCATCCACTAACGGACAATAAAATTAATGAACTGATAAATTACTGCATAAGATAGAAGAAAATTAAACTCGTTAAGTAAGAAGTTAATTTTAAAAAAGTAACTCGTTATGTAACTTAGTTAAAAGAAACCTTAACTTTTTAACTTAACTTCAATTTTTAACTCATTAATGGCCGGTCTTGCAAAATAGTTGTTTTAATGAATTAATCATCGTAGTGTACTATATGGAACTTATTTTTTCTTGTACTTTATTTATTAACAATATATAAAATGTATAGTCCAATAATTGGTGTGCAGTAGATGAATACATTTCAAAAACATTGTTTGTTCAAAATAATTACCAGTCATAATATGAACAGCGACATATTTTGTAAAAAAAGTGTTGTGATGATAAGTTATTTTTATATAAATTCCAAACATTTTTATTGGAAGTAGAAAAATAAGTATCTTCAAAACATATTCAATACATGGTAGTATTTAAAATTTATTTAAAATTATTTTACTTGTTAATATATAGTATTTAGTACTCGAAAAAGTATTTGAATACCAATACTCAAATACTTTCATCATTGCTCATTAATATATATATATTACATTATATGCGTTATAAAATTTTTATTTTAATAAAGTTTACCACCTGGTTAGGTATAAACAATTTAAATGGGTACATAATGTTTTAAGGAAATAATTTTATTCAATTTTAATATTTACAATATTTTCTATATCTTATTTGGGTATGTTAAGAGGATTCCACACTGCCGTTTTTTGGAGAAAAATAGATCTATAAAAGTTTTCAGGTACTGACTTGAGTTTTACTCTGATAATAATTTTGAAAACAAATTTGAGTTTATTATGAAGTCTATTTTGAATCTTATATTAAGTAATAAAAAAAATTTTAAATAGTTTTTTTTCCCATTAAAATTTCTTAAAATATAACATTTTTTAAACATTTCAATTAAGAATTTTTCTATTTAAGAATAATAAATTAAGAGTTAAGTAAACTTAATAACCATAAAATCTGTTTTCAAAATTATTGTCTATCTAAACTTAAAGTCGGGTGGAACTTGTCTAGGTCTCATTTACAAAATTTTGCAATTGTAAAATAATTTTGATTTTAGGCATTTTGTGATACATGTATGCAATAAAGTAACGCTAACCCCGGCTTGCTGCTGTAGGATTAAAAATAGACTTAAAAATAAATTCAAATATGTTATCAAAATTATTAACTTATTAATGTAAAACTTATTCGGTACTTTCAAATGCGTTTGCTGTGTAGGTATATTTTTCTCTAAGAAATGGTAGTATAGAATCCCCTTAACATTAAGTTACATTTTACTCAATCATATTATTATGATCAAATGATATAATAACACATCATCATTTTTACCTTATACACCTTTTACCAATGATGCCTAAATGTGGGAAATAACTAATAGATGAGCTGTTTATTGTTCTGCCGAGTCTGTTTAAAATGTATGCTGCACTAGACACAAAATTATGTGCTCGTACATGCTCTTTTAAATTTATTTCTTATTCAATTGAGATTCTATTAAAATAAATCATATTTTTTCATATAATTTAGTTATATTAAAAATAAATAATTAAGTTGAGTTAATTTTAAGTCTTAGCGGTAATAAAGATGAAAGAACTTCTTAAAAGTAACTATTTATATTAAAAGTTATTAAATAAAAAATGCTTAAGTCTTAACCTTACCTTGATACCTTAAACACCTTATATTCTTGAAGTAAATCACCATAAACAGTTATGTTTGTTATAATTTCAGTAATTAACATAAATGGGAGTATAATGCAGTTGGGTACTACAATTACTAATGATTCTAAAACAGTAGTTGCTCCATCAGTTACTACTGCAATAGAACAAGGAGTTCTTCAACAAAATAGTTTAATGGTAAGATATTATGTTTGCCAATGTTTAACTTAAGTAATATATTATTAATTTTAAGATGCTACCAAATAATATGATTGGTATAACACAAGACATACCTTCAACATCAAATTTGTCCGAAGAAGAACCTCCCTTATACGTAAATGCCAAACAGTATCACAGAATCATGAAAAGAAGGCAAGCTAGAACAAAACTAGAAGTTGAAGGAAGAATACCTAAAACTCGAAAAGTATATTCCTACAACATATAATTAGAATATAAACTTATTAATGCTATAAATTGCTTATTTTATTTTAGAAATATTTGTACGAATCTCGTCATAAACATGCCATGAATCGTAAACGAGGAAAAGGTGGTCGTTTTTGTTCTAAATCATTGCAGAAATGATAAATATCAGCCATTCAAATTCAACAAAACCATCAGTGTAAAAATCCAAGAGTCAAACATTGTTACATTCTGGCTGATAATGAAGCATTTGATAGAATATAATATTACGTATCTACAATTATCTAATAGTTTGATTTGTAGTACAAAAAGTATGGATATCGCACCTAATATTGTCTTGAAAATAAAATCAACAATTTTTATAAACAATTTATTTGAAATAAGTGTTACGTATATTTTAGAAATAAAATGTGCTATTTTGATTTATTATCTTAAAATAAGTATAAACAGTTTCGTTAATTAATTTATAAGTAATTTTATTTTTTATTTTTATTTTTTTGACTTACAATTATAATAATATAATTTTAAATAGTTCCTGTAAAAAATGAACATATAATGTTCAATGCTCAATTTTTAAATATAAGTGCTAGATGAATATAAAATATGGATTATCCTGTATCTAATTAATAAAAATTGTTGTTAACTGGTATTTTTGGTATTTACCTGTGTCTGTTTTTAAATTTTAAATCTATTAAAACACATTGTGTGCTTATTTATTAATTTTATTAGACTGTGGCAATAAGTTCATTGACATTCATGTTAAATATTGATGTATACATATTTTTGTAACTTTATGTAGTATAAAAGCAAAGTTATAATGAAAAAAGCGGGGAAGTGGATGTCACTCTGCTGTACATAAGGTGTCTCTAGAAGGTCGTTGAAATGGCTATTTATATATTTTTTAGAGTTTTTAGTTACAGAAAAAACTGCTTAGGTGGAACCTTGCTTTAAATTTACAATCCATAGCTATAACATTTGAAAATTTTATACATTTGCAAATATAGGTAACTTACGCAAACCTATGTAAATATTCTTTCCTTCCCTTTTATAATTCTCATTGAAACTCGTGACGACTGATGCAACTTTAAAAAGCTAGCAATTCAAAGAATTAAAAGCTTATAAGCAATTAAAGCAACTAGCTAAAGCCATTTCACTATTATTTGAAAAAAGGCAAATAAGGTATAGTCAATAAACCTGATAAACCAAAATTACACAAAAAATTGAAAAAAATATATATTTTATTTATATTACCTATTTATGAAATCATAATGTATAAATTAATTATTATTGGAGTATTAATGCCGGGCCAATTGTTAACATTTTTTAAGTTAGTGGTACCGTTGCACAACCTGTTCCCCCCAAATGACGCCCCTGCACTAGACGTCATTGTTGAGCGCCTACCATTCTTTGGTAGATAGTCCGCTTTGCTTGATGGCGTAACGCGCTTACGACAGTGTACTTAATGATTTTTATGTTTAAATTATAAATAAAAAAATGTTTTACTTTATTGTTAACAAAGTAAGTCTAAGTGTTGAATTAATTTCAATATCTATCTTTCTCAACACTCATCTCAAGACTGACGACTACGAGCTACGTCCTTAAATAATTACAATGGTATAGATCGCAGTGTCCTGCACAGCGCTCACCACAATTTGGCCAGTTTCAAACATCAGTGCGTCAGTGGGCGATTGAAATCTATTTCAATTGTTGACAACGCCAAAGTGACAAAATCTAAAGTAACTGTCTAGGAATGAACTATTCATTTGCGCACTCAATTTATTATATCTTGAGACTTGATCTATACTTCATTATCACACAAGTAAACTTTAAAATAGATGTGCATTTTAAAGTTGCACCTATAGATCATTAATCGTACAATTTTAAATTTCCTAGGCATACAATGATGATGTATAATGTCAAAATGACCGAAAATTGACTGTTACCCTTTTTACGAATTACAATCTATATTATATTATTAATGCATTATTTTCGTATTTTTGTTGCATTTCAAATAATTTATTTTTAGTTTTAAGTTAATATTATTTACATGTATGTATAGGAGGTAGATATAGGTACATGCTTTTAATTTTTAATTTTTATGTATTGCTTAAAAAACAAAAATAGGGATTTAAAATATAGTAAGTATGTTACTACCTATATGCGGGATAATAATTTTGAGTAAATTGCATATCTCTGATTTATGAATACCCAGCATATTTTCATCAAGAGTATTATATACTGTCTTAAGAGGATGCTACCCACGCGTTTGTTGTCTCCGTCTTACCAACTTACGACATAGCAAATTTTAGTTCACTATAAGTTACTAATAGTTACTTATAGTTTGAATAGCGTTCCGTTAGTTTTGATATTAGAGTAAGTATTATCAAACTTTTAGCTAAGAACATTATCTATGCATATGAGTCAGAGGATTTTCGATATTTTCATTTTCAAGCAAGATACGAGTATGTGAAATATCACAAATCAAAAATGCTCATATCTTGCTTGAAAATTAAGCATTTATATTTTATAATGTTCTTACCTACAATTTTGATAACAGGTCAATTCACTCTAATATCGAAACTAACAGCACACTATTGAAAATAGGAAACGAAAATGTTTATGTCATATGTGTGTAAGAGGGAGACAACAAATGCATTGGAACACGATAAAAAATCTCAATGACAAATAATTTTATATAGAATATTATTGTAGAAAACAATTAATAATATATTTCTATTCCATAAATGTGATGAAAATCATGATTATCTTTGATTCGTGGGTACCTATTTACCACTAAAAGCTAAATAGAAAAATGATAGAGAAATCAAGTACCTCCTGAGCATATTCTGTTCAACATTGAAGACTACTATAATATATGTATCTAATAAGATTATACTTGTATAAACTGGCCAATTTGATGTATGTAATAAGTAGGAATTTATAACTATATTAAATTAATAATTGTAACTATGATGATTCAATCAATAAACCTATCAACGTATTTGCCAATCAAAATGTTCGACGTCATTGATTCAAGAATGTTTTATTTTATTTTTTATTTTTTTTAATTATAAACAGTTTCAATTTATAATAAAAAATATTTGATACATTTTCTGTTAATGGTTGTTTTTCTTACTACATAGTATTGATTTATTTTCAGGTTGGGGTTATAACCTAAAGCTTCAAATCCCTAAAAACGTGTGGCAGGCAATTTCTATTAGTTTTTTTTTTAAAGTGATCCTAGTGCATTGAATTACACTTCTGCACAACAATTTTGTTTTACACACGGCAGTAACTTTTTATTTCTTGAGGGGTTACTGAGCACTGCATATTATATTAAATATATTAGGCTTCGGTCATTATAAGGTTATATCAAATATGAAACAAACACATACTTAATGTTGATAAAACATTAAAAAAATAAATAATATGCATGTCATTTTAGTACATTAATCCCTTTTATTCGTCGTCGTCACATAAATAATTTAAATAAATACATTTCATAAATATATACATATTATAGTTTAATTGTTTGATTTACCGATGAAAAATAAAATAATGCGCATATACAGCAGCAGACGCCACTTTTAAGATATAGGTACACAAGCAGCGCATAAAACAAATCCTCGGCGATCGTCTAAATAATCGTCCGTTATACAATATAATATAGTGGAGAAAAAAAACCAAAAATGTAATGTTCAATATTATAAAATATATAATATAGTCGCTAATGTGGGTTGTGTGTAAACGTAAATATATAGTATAATAATAGTAATAGTAATAAGATTATTTGGATACCTACGATTTCTCTACTCTCTTAATGAGCTAGAGAGGATAGCAACATAAATAAATAAATACATATCATATTGGTCCAAACGCGATACAAGTGTCTACGATAAATATTATATAACAACGATACATTACTACTTAAAAAATTATACTAGTTAATTATAATAAAAAATCGTACTTCAATTCAATAATATATTATTATGTACATTTAGTTTATATAATTAAATTGGTGGGGGAGAGGGTAGAGTGTACGCAATAATGAAATCTAAAGAATGTGTGTATAGAAGCTCAAACGAAGGGATGGGTAAAAGGCACCAAAATGTCTAAAATTATACACAAAAAATATTTTATACTACAAATAATAAAGTAATTAATCTGTTAACAATTGGGACAAAAATAGATAATAAAAAAACGTGGTCATAAGAATAAACGAATGAAAAAAAAAAAACGTGAAACTAAAAATTATAAGCTACACGATAATAGTATAGAACGTAAAATATGTCGATCACGGCGGACGAAGTACGATTATTGTATTATAGGAGTGTGTGCCTTAAAAAAACGAAAATATTTGTTATTGGCAAACGCAAAACGAACGCTGTATGGACACAAAACGGAGAGGGAAAATTGTTTAAGATGATCGACGTGCCAACTATTTCTTACTCCTTTTTCTTTTGCCTGTGGGCTCAACAGGATCATCATCCAGGAACTCGAGCCGGGTGCCGCTGTCGAAGAACCGCACGAACGCAGCTGGTGGTTCTTTGTGGCCCTCTGCGGTGCGGTTGTCGTTGTAGTCGATCGTCATATTCGGTGGCAGACGGTCAGGACTGAACCTCTTGCGGGATCTGATCATGGCTGCGGTCGTCATGCCGTTTCCGGTTGCTGGATCGTTGGTACGGTATCGGACTTCACCACAGTCTTTGAACACGAAAAATGGTTCGATGTCTCCTTCGTCCAGGCTTTCCGGCACATCTTCTTGGCCACCGGTGTTGTTGTTGCGCCGCCGCTGGCTATACACGACCCGCTTGCCGTGGAACTCGATGTGGTCGCCCTCGGCAACGTCCGTGGGCGAGGCGGGAACGTAAGTCTCGGCAGACACGTAATCCCCATTGTTGGGCATCGGTTCACCGGTCGATCGCAAGAAATGGACGCGGGTGTGCTCGGCCAGATCCACTTCACCGTGCGTTCGGTACGTGCAGAACCTACACGACCGTTTCCACGACCGCTTGGACGCGGCCCCAGAAGAGTTCATCGCCACGTGGTGATGAGTGTTGTGTCGATCCAGCTGTGACCGAATGTCACACTCGAACGGGCATTGTGCGCACCGGAATAGAGATGTGGTTGTCTCGCCAACCAAGTTTCCGGTGGCTCCGTAGGCGGCATTCAGCTCGTAAGCAGTCTGCTGGTCCGATATCTCGTTCGTGAAAGTTGTGTCCTGTGGCTCTAGTTTCACCGGTGGCGGAAGCATCAGTTTGGTCGGACGCTGTGGCTTCCGGTCTTCTGTAGTCGGTCGCCTACGCATCCGTTGAGCGTTCGACGCCTCCTCCTGTTCCTTGATCATTTTCGCCCTGTCAGCGGCCTGTTCGTTGTTCTTCCGGATCTCTGCGTCCTGTGCGTGCTTCCGCTGGTGTTGGACGTAATTAGCAGTGTATCGCACTGCATAGTCACACTTATCACATTGGTATTTGTCCCGGGCCCCATGCAGAGTCAGGTGTACGGCGTACTGGTCGCGTTTGTCGAACGCTGACGGGCATTTTGGGCACTTGTACCGCTTAGATCGGATTACGCCGTTTTTTACTGAGGTCGGATAAAAGAAATTCGGGTTGCCCAGCATAACGGATCCGAACTCGGGATCGATCTGAAAGTCTTCTTGTCCGTCGTTTTCGTCGGTTGCGTGTGCCGGTTGCACCTCTGAACCTGATGTTGCTGGCAACGCTGATAAAATTACGGGCAAGGGAATTTTTTTACCTTTGCCCTTTAACTTTGATAGAGCTTTCAATTTCTTTGATGTCTTAGTCTTAACTTTTTCTCTGGCAGGTAGATCTCGGTGTACGGTTTCATGCCGGACCAAGTTGCCATAAGTGCTAACTGCATAATCACAACGCCTGCATCGGTGACGACCCGGACCACCATGTAAAGTTTTGTGGTACTGCAAGGCTGTAGATTTGAAGAACTTGCCTGGGCACATGGTGCACATAAATTGTCGTATATAACTTGCCTTGGTATTTTTAATGGGCTTTTGGGCGGTTTCACCGGTGGAGTCTTGAGCGTCATGTTTCATGGCTGCAGCGCTGGTAGTGGTTGGTTTTGCATTAGCCACTGGCATTTTAGGCGCAGGTAGTAAAGGTGGCAGCGTTGATTTTAAATTTGCGATTTTTGTCACAGGTAGTAGTGCTGGTGGCGGTGGCTTTGTACTGACAGTTTTCATGGCAACACCAACTACCAAAGAGCGACGCCGTCGTTTACTAGTGTCGTCGGCATACTCGACAGGTGCCGATTGAACTGAGGTGGAAACGTTAGGCTCTGAATGCCGCACACGTTTGGTTCGCCTTTGACGTTGGCCGTCAGTCTCAGGCGAATGTGTTTTTGAATCGTTGTTATTTGGTGATTGAGGTGGAGACCATGATCGTCTCTGAAGCTGAAGAGGTGAATTGTCACTCACCGATACAGGGTACTCTGTAGGCCTAGGATATTTAGGGTTAACTGGATATCCAGAGGCGATCAATTCGGTAGTACGTTGTGCGTACTCGTCACAGTGAACGACCTCGTGCGCGATTACGTGGATTTTTGCTCGAGCTACAAATGAACAGCAGTCGCAAGCATTTTTCCAGCCTCGGAACCTATGGAACCGGATATGGAATCGGAGGTCGGTAAGGAAAAAGTACCGAGCCGGGCAATATGGACAAAATTTAAGCTCAGGTTCATCAATTTCTGTGTACTTTGTGACGTCTTCTTGGATTTCATTATCACTTGACGTATCGGATAACACTTCATTACCAGAATAAGATAACCCACTGTTGATGGCAGTGATCTTATCCAGCAGTAAGCTTTGTTCTAGCTCCATCACGTATTCGAGGGCTCGAATTTGAATCGAGTCCACAACGGTGACATCATAAAAGCCCACCGTTGAGCAGCTATAACTTGTTGAGTGTACCTTGACATGTGATGCCAAGACCCCTGCGTTGTTGCATACATAAGTACATCGTTTGCACGGGTGTAGAGGGGATGGTGGAACTGAACAGCCCGATAGACGCTGCTGCATTTGTCTGTGATGCTGATGGTCCGGGTGGTCTGAGTGCATCCGCTCGTGCTCAACTGTATTGTGTCGCCGGCGATTAGTATGCGGACAGTACCGACATTTGAATACTTTCGTGAAAGGAGGGACGTTTTCCTTTCTGTAATGCCACACCATGGGCGGTCCAGCGGTGGTCTCATCTACATCCGTCACGTTGATTGTGTTGTTTTCCAGTTTGTTATCGGCATTCTTTGCAATCATGTCTCTTTGCCCAGCCCGAACCACGGAATCTTCTGGATATCTAAGTTCTGGTTCTTCGATCACGTGCCCGTGTCGATAATGATGGTATAAAATTGCTGCTTTAGTGACGTTGAAGACGCATTCCGTACAGTTATACAGAGCTCCCGATTCGACGTGCAGCTGCTTGTGTGCTAGTAAGTCTCTTCTATTGGTTGAATAGTACCAACACTCGTTGCATTCGAACACCTCAATTTCCATGCGTGATACAGTTGAGGCATCTCCTTCCGACACCGCTGACGCTGTAGGTGCAAGAATTTCCTGCAATTTCAAAAACATCAAATTACAGTTACAATATTAATATTTTTATTCCACTTTTTGTTTATTTACGGGTCGAATAAAGGGCTAAACTAAACTTACTTTGATAATTTTAACTGATGTGGGTTCGGTTGCTTCTTCTGCTCTGACTACTATTTCTTCGTCCTCGTCACGTTCTTCACCTCCGTCGTATTCGCAACTCATCATATTGTCGGCTATTTTATCATCAGCGGTACTGCTATAGCTGCTTTTCTCAGAGCCCTTGCTCGGTGTCGACGGTGTTTCAATAGGTGATCCTCCATCATTATCAACAAAATCAGGTTTGCACTCCACTGCCTCAACCACGACAATATTTTCGTCACTGTTGTCGAACATCACTTCCATGTTGGTCGTGGTGTTTGTGTCATCACTTCCGTTGTCGAACATTGTCATATTAGCTGTCACGTCGTCACTACTACCATTTTCGTCGATTCCTTGCATTCCCTCCTCGTCGTCATCGTTAATTGAATTTGAAGTCGATTCATTGCGTTGTTCGGTCCCATAATTTACATCAATGGCATTACCATCGGTATTTACACTGCCATCGTCCATTTCGTGCGCAAACATCATATGGTCCAACATAGCTCTGTGTTAAAAATAAATAATAGTAACATTAATATTTATTAATAATTGAAGTTCAGATTTTCAAACTGTAAATAACTCACTTTTTTTCTTCCGACCAAAACGGACAGTACTCACACCTATACTTGGTTTCTTCGGGAATATGGATGCGCTGCATGTGTTCCTTCAGTTGGCCAGGGCTAGCAGCTGTCACGTCACATAGCGGACAAGACAAAAAGTTTTCATCATCTGAAAAAAAACTTTTATGTTACCACGATAAACTGCAGTTATCATGTAAAGCATCAAACTTTCTGGATTAAATAAATCATTATAGTGATTTTAAAGAAAAATGCAATAGTTTAAATAGTATATTCAACTCGACCTGACAAAGATATGTAAATAAATATAATACTCACCATAAAGCATTAACGCCTTAGGGTTGGTGGACAATAGTAACAACGTGTCGGATGCGGTCCGATTTGTGGGGGTCTTTGTTTTCCTACGGTCGGTGGTCGGAGAATTTTGATCTACCGTTTCTTTTACTTCTGCCGATTTTTTTGTTTGGATCTAAATGAAATACAAAAATTAAATAACAATATAGTTATTAATTTAATAGAATACAAAACTTGGTCAATCACATCTAAGCACAATAGATAACTTGTCAGATATGGGTGATGAGAATACACATTACATATCACATCACATTTGTAAACATCGAGTTTAGTGATAGTAATTATTGTAACCATGTCATGAACGCGCAATTAAGTCATATTAATTTTTATATACATGAGCTAGCCAATACATGAGCATTATGTATATTAGATAACATATTATATAAATATATAATATTATAATATGAATTCAGTACACGTCTGAAAACACTATTATCGCCACTAAGAAAACCAAAAAATAACAGTTATAAGTCTGTTTTTGACTTACAAATACTTGTATCAATATAATTCGAAAAATATACAAATATTTCTACAGACTTTTTCCTCTTTGAACAACATCCAAATTTTGTTTTCATAAATATTAAATTTTTCAAATTTTTTTTTGGTTTATTTTTAAAAAAACATTGTCAATTTCCTATTTTTACTTAATCACTAGATTACTTTTACTACCAGAAACCAAAATTAAAAATTAAATATTGATAGCAACAGTAGTTACAGATGTCGTCGTACGAGCTGATCAAAAAAATAGAATAATATTGACAAAATAAGACAGAAAATTGCGTTGATATGAGTGAAAATCGGAGGAAATTGAAAATCTTGAACGGAGAATTTCGTTGTTCGGGATAAACTATAATGCTGTGTAAGAAAACTACGCATTACATATATATAATTTGATAAAAACAGAACATTTCAGGAGAGGAGGGGAGAGGGATGAAAAGTCAGGAAAGTGGATTTGAGATTAACTTAGTATTATATATATATACTTAAATTACTACTTTTGAAGGCGTCGCGTAGCCTTTTTTCTCAACATTTTTAATAAAAAGTTATCCGATAATAAAGCCATTGAAAAATAATTTCTATTGATTATCAAACGATATATTCTCGAAAATATGGTTTTCAATGAAACTTATAACAGTATTTTATCTCTATAATCACTTTCCAGTCATCATAATATTATGACGGATCTTCGTGATCTTATTATTTCTGTGCTGTTTAGACGGAGATGACAAAATTCTTAACACTCAATTATTATTCATAATATTATCCAATATATGTTTATTAGTTTTTTATACCTTTAAATTCATCTGTGATCATTGCAGGGATTATAATAATCGAATATTATTAGACTAATTGTCAGACCCAAATACGTAGTAGGTACACAGGGCGGAATGTTGTATGGACCCAAACGGGCCAAACGGCTATACCTATGTTTATTATTATACGTGCGCTATTAATTATCTATACTTCTATAGTATTGGTGAACAAATTCTGTTACAGTTAATTTAGCTTTGCCGATAAACACGGTTACACGAAAGAAAAAATAGTTTTTACGACCCGCGTGTCGAGCCATGAGACTTTGTTTTGACACGTGCGCAATATTCTACGGAATTTTGAAAAAAAAAAAAACTGGACATGCGCTCAGCTTTATGATTAATAAGTATAATAAGTTTATAGTCTCATTTATTATTCAATGACGAATCGTATTATCAACTAGTTACTATGTTTAATTATATTTTAACGCCATGATTAAAGTATAATTTGTTTCATGAAAAGAGGTTATCAATTATGTTTTTATAATGTCGCATATAATACCGTCTTTTGGAATTATATATAATTATCCAAATTTAAATAAGGTTCGCGTACTGACCATCTCTATCGTATATACTATATATACATTTTACTATTTTTTCTAAAATTAAAACTATATAATAACTGATACTGATTAATTATAATCGAGATATTTATTTCATGGTTCAAGACATCAAGTTATGTTCATGACCATCCAATTATATAATTGTATCGTTTTAACTAATAAATAGTGCGATAGTTTTAAGTATAATAGACAACGGTTAGTACGGTTGTACCAAATCAGCTTGACTTGTTCTGATCTGACGATCCGCGGACAATCACTCAATAATATTATGTTAAGAGGATGTCACGTCAGAGCACTAATTATTTTCTCTGAACCACACACGCGACATAAACAAGATTAATTTATGCAAAATCCTTTTGAATAATTTTCGAGTAATCTTAGGGCAATCTACCTTAATTATTATTTTATTTTAAATAAATATACCTTCTTGTACTTGAATGGGTATTAATTTTTTTTAGACAAAATTATTACTTATGTCAAACATTTAAATTAGTAATCGATGATTTGGTCAATTATTACAAAAATTCACAACAAAAATAATTTTTTTATGAGCTAGCCAAACAACAAGCATAGACGTTATACCTACGTTGAGTATAAGTCAGAGAGACAAAAAAAATAGTGGGCTGAAATTATTTTCAAGAATTATGAGCTGGAAGGAGGCATAGTAATCTGTACATTACACAAGTAACTACGAGTAACAAGTCAATTATTAGTTCATTTCAAAATGGTGAAAACTTGATAAAAGTTGTACATAAATTGAATTTTGTATTAAATACTAGATTTTAACAAAATATATATTATTATGTATGTTTATAATAAATTAATAATTTAAAGGTTAAAGGCATTTTGGGAAAAATTAAAATATTAAACCTTAGCATATTAAAATATTAATTTAAAGTAACTTCCAAGTGGTTATATGTCAGTAGGTGTCATCATTGTTAGTTGTTATGTAATTAAAAGATTATAATATAGAACAATTATTGTTTCGTATGAAAATAGAAACCACTTAGCTGCAGTCATAGATACGAGCCCAAATTTATACACGATAAGAAGACAATATTTGCTGTCTTAGTATTTTTATTTTTATAAAAGTTAGAAATAATTTAGAATTCGATATTAATTTGTATGTTTTTCAAACTTAAATACATTTTATTTTTCTGATATAAAATATCGTAATCTCGTGTATACATTTGGTTTTTCAACTGTATGGCCTGAGTTTCAAAAACAACTTATAGGTGTGTGTCTTCTTAAAGATTTGACTAGTGTTACTTACATATAATTCGTTGATGGATGCGTTGGCCGTGTCAGTGGTGGCTGAGGAGTCGCTATTTTGCGAAGAATTCATTCTGGTGGCACTGGTGTTGCTGCCGAACTCTCCTCTTCTGTAGTGCGCCTTGACATGGTTTAAAACAGTCAACCGATCGCAGTCTCTGTAGCGTGAAACAAAGGAAAAGGAAAAATCGCAAATTAATTATAAAATTTAAAACATTAGACTTAAGTAATAATCAAAAACGGGCATGACATGTAGAATGAAACGAAAATATATATATGTTACTGGCCATGTGGTCCTGCCCGGGCAATGTAAACCACGAATTTTTTTTAACCAACTAGTATTATTTTTTATTATTATTACCTATTTATAGTATTGATTTTTTTTTACAACAATCATTATTAATTTTATTCATGTATCATAATACAATAAACTATGAATTTGTTGAAACACTGGGTATAAACTTGTTTTTGTTACTTATCGCACTGCCTATTTAAAAATCAAGTGTAGGAAAGCAGACAGACTATGTATTTCCAAGTGCCATGCTTCTAAATCTTGTTCAAATAAATAGGTAATAATAAAATTATAATTTATAATAAAAATAAAATGATAATACTTGTTAATTTTTTTTTGTTATTCAATCAATAAGTTCGTAATATTATGGTACATGAATAAAACATGAATAAAATTAATAATAATTGTTTTTAAAAAGATTAATACTATAAATAGGTAATGATTATAATTTATAATAATAATAAAAAATAATATTGGTTGGTAAAAAAAAAAAATGTGTGGTTTACATTTCCCGTAACATATATAATGTCCACTCCAATCTATTCAATTTGGTGATCAAAAATATATCAAACAAGGCGATGCATATTTCGAAAACGGAATATTGTCTTACCATTATAATGTTATACACGGGCAAAAACAGGCATATTATGTATCATTTGATAAAAAAAATGTCATTCATCAAAATCACACAGTTTGAGATAAAAAAAAAAAATTAGGGAACTCGCACTGCTGTATTTTAGATTTCAAGTATCATTGAGTATATCGCTGCAATGGGTGTGCTAATTTTGAATTCCATTTAGCTTATATTATGACGAATATTTTATAATTTATTATTTATTTATAAAAATATTGCATAGGAATATAAGTTAGTTTGAACTAATATTTGCCTACAAAATCACATATACTATAAAATCATATAAAATGTACAATTAAGACAATATCGGCGTAAAATAGAATGGTGTATTTAATATAGGGTTGTAGAATAAATAAATTAAAAACAGATTTTTATTCATTACCATTTTAACTAGATATTACATCAATTTTCATATTTTAATCGTAGCATTACCTAAAGTATTTATAAGTTTTATAAATATTAAAAGTCGCTTTAATCAAAACATAGGAAACTTGATGATAAATCAAAATCCATTTTACATTAATAACTCGTCAAAGGCTTACTGCTGTGTCAGGTTATTAGGTATGAACACCACCTTTTTGCATGACTGTAGTGGTACTCCTATATAAGACTATAATATGCTTCTAACTTGGATCATAATATAATATACATAAGTGCAATTTGGGGGGGGGGGGCAGGATTAAAAAAACTTATTTTGTACTCCCTTAATAAGTACTATAGCGTTCGGAAAATTATATGAATTTGCATATTTTTACAGGTCGGTAGTACAGTACCAGTAAGATGCACAAATTTGTTTAAGGTAAATTAAAGTTGGTTGGCATGAATGTCTTCAGGCTACGCCAACAACCACCTCTCCACCAAGATAATTATTGTAGTCACACAGTTAAATGGAAACTTCCCACAGCCACGGGTAGATGCATAATATTAAAATAATAGTATTTACCTGAAGAAGCATTTTTTGCACTTCCAAACGGTCTTGCTGCGTCCGTCACCTCCGATAGCCGTCGGCGGAAGGAGCGTCGTCGCCGCGGAGTTATTCTGGTTCGGCTGCTGGTTCAGCTGTTGGTTCCGGATCGCCGCGGCTTTGAACCTTTTCAACTGTCCCGCCGCCGTTGCAGCCTTACCCGACGTCGACGTCTGGTGCTGCCTGAGCAGGAGCGGGATCCCGTTGTTGTGGGCAAAGGTTGGCGCCCGCCGTTTCCTGGTGATGCCGCCGCCCACGGACTTGCGGACGCCCTTTCCGTCCTCGCACTCGCCACCGGCCGCTTTGTCTGCTCCGTCCGCTATGTCCATTTCCATCACAGTCAGATACCGGTTGTACTTGCTGTAGTTCCTGCGACCCGTCTCATCCGTCATCAGCACCTTGGCGCCCTGGTGCGAGTTAAACGACGCAGCCGACTCTTCGCCGCCACCTCTCCTCGCCGACTTCAGCCGGATGTGCTTGGTGATATCCCAACGCCAGTTGGACCGGTACGCGCAACACGAACACTCGAACGGTTTGCGGTTCAGGTGGCCGACAATGTGCACGTGGAACCGAGAAGCAGTGGCCGCCCAAAACGTGCAATGCGGACACTTGAACACCTGCAGAGGAAAAACGTCGGAGGTCAGAACACATAATACTATTTATGCATTGCGCTAAGGAAAATATTCGTATTCTAATTCGTGCACAAGTACGTAGACAAACCTAAAAAGTATATTTTAATGAATACATTGATTTATATGACAAATACAAATTAAAAAAATTTACAACTTAGGATGCGAAGTCGAATAATCCGGAAACTTAGGGAATTATGTAGGTAGTTGTCCGGAGAAATTACAAACATTATTATATTATATTATTATACACTAATAATGTGAGAACGCGGGTAAAGAGAGTGAATGTAATGATGGCTAGAAGTTTCGGGGAGTTGATTTTACCAGTTAGGAGGTTGGGTGAATATTACTTAGGTAAAATTTAAATATACGTTTCCAATTAAGTGAATATTAATCTAGATAATATGTCTAAAATCGGTCATAATTACTAGATATTATTGTCTTTAAATAAATTATAATTATTAATAATATTCATATTTAAACTTATACAGATATAGATGATTTAAAACGGGCTTAGCTTCAAAGCCCAACAGTATTTTTCAAATAAAGTTTAACCAAAATCAATGGAAACAACCAAATATTGGTGGCACAGCCGAAATGGTAATATTAATAATTAGTAATTATTACAATTGTCAGAACAGGCCAAGAATACATATATGTACCATATAGTATAAACTACCTATATATATCATCTATATATGTTATATTGATAAATATAGGTACCTAAACGTCATATAGCATCTAAAAAACTTACCGTTTTGTACATTTTTCCTTCCTTTCTGATTGCGTGCTTCATTTGTTCCTGATGTTGTAACATTTCAGGGTCACAGGAGCCAATATTTTCAGGTGTATCGTTGGTGTTTATGTCGTCTTCCGACTCATCTTTAGCCGACGGCGGTTTGACGTTAGGTGACATCACGATTTCCGTCACGGTAGCAGAATCTTGTTCTTCCCGGTCGTTTTCTTCATTGTCCTCGTCTTCGGTGGCTTGATCTTCGCCGGGCGGTGTTGTCACCGCGGAGGTGTTCCACACGAAAATCTTATTCTCCATCGGGTGCAATTGCTCATCGTCGGTAACGGTTTCTTTCACGACGGTTGGACGGTTCGGGCTGTCAATCTCTGCGGCTGCAGTGGTGATGGCGGCGGCAGTCGTTCCTCGGCAAGTGGCCAAGTGCACAATCAACTCGGTACTGGTCTTGCACCGCTTCCGGCACCGCTGGCACCTGGTTGACTTGAGCTCAGCAGCCGTCACCGGCGGTGGCGGCGGTGGTGGCGGAGTAGATGTCGTCCGTTCTAGTGCCGTCGCGGTATGATCTTCGGTCTTGAGGCCATTGACGTCCACGGACGCAGAGGCGTCGCTGTCGTCGTCGCCACCATGAGTCCGCTGATGTCGCATGAACTCCGACAGACACTTGGACTCGTAACGACATACTGGGCAAGTCAGGTCCGCTGTCTCGTCCACTTTGGCTTTGAGCTTGTCGAAAAACGAGGCAGTCTTGCTCTTCGGCGATGTGATGGTGCTGCTGCTTCCGGTACTGCTGCTACTCCGCCGCCGGTCCGCTGTGGCGACGCCACTGCCAGCGGCGTTTGCGGAGGTGGGGCTACAGTTGAACGAGCTTGGCGCACAGTCCGTGTCGTCGATGATGGAAGCAAAATCGCTGAGCGCGCTCTGGCCCGCCGCCAAGCTGTAGTAGTTGTCCGCTGTGATTGCAGAAGCGTTTTCCGGCGGTGGTGATACCGTTCTCGCGGGTAGTCGCATGCGGACAATCGTGGGTACGCGCCGTGACTGCTGCTGCTGCTGCTGCTGCTGTTGTTGCTGCTGTTGTTGCTGTTGCTGTTGCTGTTCAACGATCGGTATGAGCTTGGGCATAGGCCGGCGCCGTGGCTTTTGTTCCGCGGCCTTTGTGCTGCCCTCCGGCGGGCTGGTCACTGAAATTATCTTTATTGGCATTGTCGGCAACGAAGTGGTGGTCGTCATCGTGGTAGTCTTTTTCACTACGGACTTGGACGTCGAGACACCATCGCTGTTGGCGGACACCGACGGCGAAGTGCTCTTTGTCTCGGCAATGAACTCGACGATGCCGTCTTCTTTTGTCGTCTCGTACGTTACGATCTGTAAAACATAAATAATTCGTAACATTAACGATTTTGTTGAGTGTTTGTTACATGAATTACTTATACATGTAGCAGAAATAATATACAATATTTTAAGGGTTGATATTATAGAACCTATATTGGTGTATGTCAGACATCTGCGACTTGTTTGTGAAAATAAAAAGACTATCAAAAATCGAAAAAAAAACCTTAACCCGGAGAACCCATCGGAAAGTACAAATTATTTTTAAAACTAACATTTCTTATGTTTACTCAGTTCTATCAAACCAAAAGCACGATATTAAACGTACAATCACTTTTCGTACACTAATAATCAGTATGCACAGTTAAAAATATAAAAACAATAGTTGCTAAAAAAACGATTAATTAAACCACAATTAGAATATCCAAACCACCAAACTATTGAGTATAGAAGCTAGTGGTGTGCCCTGAGGGTCGGTGTTATATCCACACACCACTGACCCCATAAAGCCCTATATTTGTGTCTTTAGTATTATTAGATATTGAAAAAATAAAAGGATAAACACGCCATTGACTAAACGAATACAATAATAATATGTGGTAAGATGATATTACAGTTTAAAGAGAAGTAGGCACCACAGATTCGTTTATTTTAAATTACTTTAGATGACCACGCATTTAATTTCATAAAATAAATACTGAATAACAATACGACGGCGAAGCCTGAAATGTAGAAAAATTAACTTTGATAAATAATTTATAATCCATACACATTAATGAAAAAAATAAAGCAGGCAGGCTCACAGTAAATAACACATAATAATATTTTACCAAAGTTTATTTGATCACTGCAGATTTTTTTCATAGGATTGACCTATTTTGTTTAATTTTAATTCTCACTTAACTATATGTCTATGTGTACTAATTAAACCTACCTACCTAATAATAAATATATTATACAAATTACCGTCGGTACATAACATAGTATCTAAATAATATATATTACGAACTAAACTAAATATTTTTTTTGTTTCCACTGAAATGCAAATACGCTCGTTTTGATAATATCACGCTTGCTAGACATCCATAAAAGTAAACGTCGGTATTAAAAACGAAAAAGAAAACTAAGGTCTCCCCGGGGCACGTTAATGTATACAGGTAATACACCCGATTGGCAGCTTGAGAATAGTCTCCAAAGGCACTATTTATCGACGATTGTAATTTATATAGTATAAAGATACGTAGGTACAGGTCCTGTAGGTTATAATACCATATATGTGTATATGCGCATTACACAGGTGACCACGTAAACGATATGATATAAAATGACGTAATGAGTAAAAGTGTTTCAAAAAAATGTACATCACGCAATTTTTCGTCACAGTTTTCTTACAATATTTGAACTCAACGAGCAACAACGGTTAACCTAACCTAACTTCCAGAACGATATAGATTTTTGCACGACACAGCAGTGTGCGCGCTGTAATATATATCATTACGTGGTCGCCTTCTACCATAACACCTACATATGCGTAGAAATTGTTCGATTTCAGTAGTAATCAAATTGTATTAAATGTAATTGTAATTATACATACGTAGTGTGAACCATCACGCCACATGATCACTGCGAAAAGCGCACACAGGAAGAAGAAACGAAGCGGAAAAACGGAACTGCTTTAAAATGAATTCACTAATTCGGATGTAATAGTCGACTAATCAGCACAAGCAATTGAAATGAACACGGCATAGAATTTTGTCTCGTCAATATTAAACTCGATTGGTAGTCGTATCACAACTTACGCGCGGAAACGACTGCAAAGACATTTATATTTAATTGTTTGAGTCCGCTTGTGATTACATACCGCGATATGCAATATCGCAATACAATACAATACAATATATATATATATATATAACAGCCGTGATGGGAGGTATAGGACAAAAAACAGTTCCCACAATATGTGAATTATGTACATACGAATTCGACACTGACCATAGCAAACAATACTATCTGCGTAAAAAAATGCAGGGATAAATTAAAGTTTAATGTTCAACGATCTATATCCGGTCCGATGCTCACTATTTGATAACTATATTTACTCTTGACAATGCACATATTTATCATGTATACGCGAGATAGTCACATAGATTGTTTTATACAATGGTCGTATAACGGAGATCAACGTAATGGACGAGAGCTCGCCGATGAGAACCATCCATTATAAAAAAAATATGTAGACTATTAATAGGTAGTATTATGTATATTAAAATTAATTTTTAACGGTACTTTCTTTAATTTTAAATATATTTAGGTGATACATTTTATAAGAAATAATAATACATTTTAGATTTAATAGGTACTCGTTAAAATATTTAAAAACCACATGATTTATAAATATATAGTTATAATACCTACATATTAATATTGATTTACAGAATAAAAATAAAAAAGGAATGCATCTTATGATAAGAATGTTAAAAATCGGTATTTTTTTTTCATTTTCTTAACTAGCAATAATTATAATGGATTATCCGCTACATACACTAAATACAATAATTTTGATCTATGCTTTCAAATTATATTTAAAAACTAAGATTATTAAAGGTCAATAATTCACTAACAATATATGATTCTGGGCAGAACTATGAATAATGAATATGTATTGATTTACTGAGATCAGTGTTTTTATTTTTGTGTCTGAAACTCAGATGAAACTTATTCAAGTAGAAAAAATGATCTGCAAGTCATTGGAGTCGATCGAGATTGATGGTATAAATTTGGATAGTTTTGGAAGTTAAAAATTAAAAATTATCCGTACTTTATAGAATTATCGATGACCTTCCAAATAGGTAGTTAGTTCGTCTTCGGTGTTTTATAGTGTTTTCTTTTAAATTGCAATAAAAAAATTGGTAAAAAACCTTTAAAATGTAAAATTAGGTTCCTTAAGATAAGTAATTAATGCTGGAATTCAAAAAAGCTGAGCGTTAATTCGCAATAGTCATGAAATATACGCGTTTAGCTGAGACTGTCAGACCGACTTCGCTCAAAATAGTTTTTCGTACGCAATGTTTTATCATCAAATTCAAATTTAACACACACATTACAGTGATTTATTTAATGTTTGATGATAAGGAATACTTGACACCTATTGAACAGCATAACAGTTATCCCCTTACTTGTCCCCCTCTTTTTGTTTTTTTTTCGTTGATTTAGTAGATTACGCAAGAAGTTTATGCAGTTTGAAATTACATAATGATAAAATATTATTTTAATAATTCTTGTAATAAGCAAAGAGCTATGACGAAGAGAACATTTAAATTTTCATTTTGGTGGAAATGGGAAAAGTATAACGCCGTATGAACAGACTTGGCAGTAAACGACAAGGTCGATTTTGACCGAAAACGGCTACACTCGTAAATATAAAGTGACCGTAGTAATATCAGATTATAGAGTATGACATAATATATAATATATCTATATACATATATTTATATATATGAGATGTAACGACGAGTTTAATATTATTGCAATTGTTGTTAGACCATACAATATCCCTAGTCATTATATGGTAATGCAAGTGGCCTAAAAATGCAAAAACACTTTTAGGCCGAAGCGAACTCACGCGCACATGCAATAGCATACGTACTCATACGACTCGAGTACATATTAATATAATATAATGCATAAAAGGCGTTATTATTTTGTCGTTACCGAAGCGGGCTTCGGCGATTACGAAGACTGTCGGGTTTTTTCCGGATACAAAATATTACGTTTTGCTATCGGAAAACCACGCGCCCCCAAAAATAATATTATATTATACATACACAACCGGGTAGGCCATCTCGCCTATAATATACAATAAACTTAATATACATTAGATACTGCGATCGATGAGTCTACTATTTTAGGTTACCACAATGGCCATAATATGTCGTTGTGGGCACTGCAGGATAAGATAAAGGAGACAATTTTTTTCAACTCGCTGTAAGACAAATTTTTAAAATGATTAATTTTTATATTATTATTATTTAAGAGGAACGCTGTTTCCTATCTTGTAAACCCAAAATGACAAACTATTATACGTTCTGAATAACCCAATTCTTCGTTGTGTTTAATATTAGAGCTAATTGACCTATAATATATCAAATTTTAAATTAAGAATATTATCAAGAATTTCATATTTTAATTTTAATGTGAGTTATGAGCATTTAAAAAATTGTAAATTGTACGACAACGCATTCGGGTTTAGCGTTTTCTTAACATTATCAGTGGTGATGGAGGTAGCACAATCTTAATTATATGTATGTAACAGCTTATACATTGTGTATTTTATAGGTAATGTACGAATTTAGAAATAAATATACAGACTCGCTATAATTAGAGCCCCCCCCCCCCACCATATAGTAAATGTTAACAGGACTCGTGTGTGAGTTATTTACGTTTGTACATAACAGCCGAATAGCGCGAACGGCTGCAGCTGTATTCGAGAAATTCGTGCAATAATTAAAGGACGACGAGGAGTGGTATAACGGTTGTCGATAACAGTTACATAGGCGTTAAAGGAACCGCGCCGACTTCGGGTCAGATATACGAAGCCGGTTATCGCGACGTACCAAAGAGAGAGAAATTCGAGCCGTGGCGACGACGACGGCGATCAAAGGCCAGACGACTGAATATAATACAAAGATAAGGGGAACGGAAAGAGATACGTCGATAAAAAATTGAACTACTCCAGAAAAAACCGTTTACTTTGCATATAACTTTGTCTGATTGCACGGTCTCAAAGTGCGATGTTCGATTGTTAATGAATAAGCAAATAAGATCTTGTTAAAGAAGCTCGTGTGGAAAATAAATATTTAAAATGGTAAGGTGTGTATATATACACCACAATCGCGCATTTGGTAGGAAAAAACATTGATAAAACATACATGTAGGTATACTCTGTTTATACAGGGTGATATTTAGTTACCGGTGTATGGTAATCCAATGGTACGGATGTTTTTATAATATGTTACACACGCATCAATATCCCAATA